CCCTTTTTCTGGTGACCACAGCCTTGTTTAACAGCATCATGAAATGATGATTATAAAAACAGAAGTTCAACCTGTTTTCACTTTGAATTATTTTGCTTCTCATTGTACTGCCTTCATCCACTTAGTTCAGTATCGGTCAAAAATAAGAAAAAAACAGTTTTGTTCAGARTGCCGAGGTTCAAAAACCAGTTTATCCACTCAAAAATCCAGCTGCCCTGACCTCTGAAGGTTGTTTTATTCTGGACCACATGTTATAACTGATTTCTGGTGGGAAATGGATTCCAGAAGTACGAGGGGTATGACAGCAATATCTATAAAAYGAAGACTCTGATGATTCTTTTAATGTAAAAGGTTTGAATTAAGATAAATTAGGTCATCTCCATGCTCCCTGATACAATGTCYGCACTTTAATTCAGTATTTGACTTTTCATTTGTTTTAAAAGACATTTGAAGGGGGAGCAAAGCATCTGTCATGACTTTCATTATTAACCCCTGAAGGTGGCTGTGGTGCAGTGGTAGGGCAACAGACTTAGTACCAGAAAGTCACAGGTCGGATTCCCCACCATGCCCACATGTCGTGGTGTCCTTGAGCAAGACACCTCATCCCTAAATGAATAGGGGAACATAGGTATCAGGGAACATTGGTACTGGCACACTGGAGAACATGAATACTGGAGAACATGAATACTGGAGAACATGAATACTGGAGAACATGAATACTGGAGAACATGAATACTGGAGAACATTTCTAGGTGCAATGAAACATGGGTACTGGGAAACATAGGTATGCTCCTAAGAGATATAGATGCTGAAACAGTTTTTCATTTCTTGATGTCAGATTCATCATGTAATAGTTTGTGTGTGTTGTCAGCACTTTAGCTGTGTGAATCTCTGGGTGTGAGTTAAATATCTTTGAGTCAGAACTCACTCCTTACACATATTGYGTGTCTGTATCATGCTTCCTGTTGGGTTTTTTCACAGCATTTCTCAGAAGAAAGTGAAACAAACAATATAYATATACAAATCTCTTTACTTTGCCTGCTTCAGTCAGAAACAGTTGCTGAGGGAGGGTGCATTTTCTCAGCTAATGGTCGTAGGGAGTGGGTGTCTGAGTTGTGATTGGCTATTATTTCAACAGGATGGAGGGGATTGTGTGTCTAACAATCACACATCTGGATGTTTGGACCAGACAATGTACATGTGTTCATTTGAATTAAATTAAATACAATAAAGTAGTGGGCACAGTTCCACTAATACACAAACAACTAATCTAACTTCATTTAGTGGATTAGCATTTATGCTAACTTTGAAAACCATTAGCAGACCAGTTAGCGGACGCTAAATTTAGTTCTGCTAACCTTAAGTCAGATTGTCCCGTCACACATGCAGCACTGCACACCTGTGTCATGCACCTTGTTTGTGTGTGTACTAAGGTTGGGCGATATTGGCAAAATAATTAATCATGATTAATTGTGTTATTTAGTCGATAACGATTAATTTGACGATTAATCCCCTGGAGTCCCTGGACACCCTTWTGTCTTGGTCACATGACCAATTTAGTGGGAAATATTTGCTCTTCGTAAAAATCTTTTTCAAACTGTGTAAAAATCACAGACTTCAACTTCAGGCTATACTTCAAATTTTAAATTGTGTTGATAAATAATTACAGAACTTTTGTGTAAATGTTGGTCATATTTGAAGAGGAGAGGAGCACCGAGCGAACTGACCGGGGAAATCTCCAGTCAGCCTGCCTGGTGACATTAATAGTATTAATCGTCAAGTGCCAAAAAATAATTGATTAATGTTTTTCTGATGATTAATTGCACACGATACGATTAATGCCCAACCCTAGTGTGTATTGTCATTAGCATTTTGTGTGTTCCACTGCGTTAAGTCTGTAACTGGTAGGAGCAGAAGACGTGATGCAGATTGATTGATGGTCGCCTTCGTCCACCCAAACCCTTAAGTATCCTAAAGTACTGTACTTTGGGAGACGTAGTTGCTCAGTTTCTACGAGCTTTACCACACACATCAATGTTTAAATGACAACTGCTATCAGTTAGCGTTAGCTTTCACAAATTTTTAAACTGGTTTAGTGGTTTATTGTTTGAAAAGTCAGTTTTGTAGGTAGCTGCCTGTCAGTTAGCAAAGTTCACTTTTTGTTTCGCTGTGCACACCACTGATACATATAATATCTATAGACAGATATAACATATGATATATATATACG